AGTAAAACTTATCCTGATATGTATCAGTCTTGTCGCGAACAGCGTGATCAAATGCTCTGATAAATTGTTTGTATGTGAGAGGGTCACCTTTAAATACTGGCACTTCCTTGCGTGGCAGACCTGACAAGTTTTGCTGTTTAACCAGCATTTCTGTTATAGCATTTTGTTTTTTCAACATCTGCTGAAGATCACCATCAACTTCATCCTCTTCCTTTGCATTCTGAGCATGTCTGATGTTTCTTGACTGATATCCCTTTGAAGCCTCTTTCAGTTGCACGTGTTGTAGCTGTGGATTATCATCTTGTTGATCTTTCTTCTTTGATGTAGAACGTTGGGAAAGATAGCTACTCTTATCATATGAATCCTCATAGGTCTGTAACACCTTCAGTTTGGCACTAGATTCTGCTTGTGCTGCTTCAATTATCAGCTTTAAGCTTAACTTCTTCAAGCTCAAGAGCTTGTTTTTGCTCCAGTAAAGTTGCTCTAGCAACAAGTGCTGCATGTTCTGATTCTTCTTTCAGACGCACTGATGATATCGCGCTTCTTGATGACCTACTGGATCTACTTGAAACAACTGACTTGTAATCACTTCTCATAATTTGTGAGATGCTGTCTTCTGCCTTTACATCATCAGCTAATCCCAACTGCACATCTGTTGGCATGCTTGAAACATCACCTTTGCTTTGATGTTCAAACTGATGGTTAACAAATTCCATAACATTCTCCACAAATTTCTTCACAGATGTCATTTTGGTAGTAACACGCTGCTGATCGTCTCGTTTCATCCTCATCCATAAGAATCATTATTGAATTATTAAGCTCCACAATTTCCCCCTGCAAGTTGTGTAACTCCGACTCCAAAAGCTTCTTTATCTGATCAACATTTTCCTAATTTTGCATAAGGTCATCATGCAGTAAGTATGACACGACATAAACAAGTTCCACAGTCCAGTTCTTGGTTTTTACAAAGGGTTTACTAAATAAAAATAAACATACAAATAAAACGTTTCCTGGTTCCTTGTCCAAAGTTACAAAGGACTTGACAAATTACTTGCTTATAACTCGGTCAGAAAAACTGTGTGCTCAGAGCCTGACCGTCCGAACCTCTCAAAAACAAAAAACACATCCGGTCACATGGTTAACAAACAACAATATGCCATAACATAACATGTCTAGAGCACATTGTATAAAACAAACGTATTATTCCAAAACATAAAGCTATGTTGGCTATGTTTTCTTAATAACTACGTAAACTAAACATTTTTCAGATTGGCTCTTACAGGCACAACGCATTAACTGAGCTTTATAAACCTTTATCCAGTCTGGTCTACTCTGTGCATCCTTATCTTGAACTGCGACAGTCACAGCTGGCTCTGTCTCACCAAATCTACCCCTTAAACATGTCATCAATTATACATGCATCTCTTAGTAGGATCATAACAGCATACCATGCCAGCCGATTCACAAAACCAGAAGGATCCTTGTCTGGTTTTGGAAACTGCACAACCATGGCACAGCTTCAAAGAGATTAAGATGTCTTCATCTATTAATATATTTATCTTCATGTTTTGTTGCTTGATACTGTTAACAGCTTTTTTGTTGTTCTGCTGGTGGAGTGTATTTAAGAAGAGAAAAAGATTTAGGACACTATTAACTTTGTTTAATTCACCAAGGTTTAGTCACAGGCTTTCTGCTAGTGTTGTAGTCAAGACCACCTAAACGAGACCAAGACCAAGACCAAGACCGGAGTGTATCAGGGCCAAGACAACCTCTTAAAGTCTTGGTCTTGTTTCAGTGGTCTTCACTACAGCACTACTTTCTGCATTGGTACACACCAAGTCCTGCAATCAAACAGTGGAGTTTCACACAAGTCCAACATCAACTAAGCCTCAAAAGGTACCACAGAACTGAACCAGCTCCCTGAGATAAGAGTTAATCCAGCAGCTACTTTGGACTGGACAGAGCACAGGTGTGCATGTGACAAATTACCTAAGCATTCTTACAGCTGCTCTGTTATTGCTTTAATGTATATGCATGGGTTTAGAGGACTGGTTGATCTGAATGAAAGATGAGGCATGGATCTCTTATCTTCACTTTTAACTAAAATGCTAAGGTTTGGGCTTTAATACACTGCATTTAGATTAAAATAAAAGCTGGAGTCAGGACCAGTCATGAAAATGGTGCAGACTTACTATCATAGTAGTCTAATATACACAAACTCAGTGACAGTGGAAGAAGAAAGAGGAAGGAGATAAGAAGAGGATGGTTAACCTAAAATATTAACAGGAAACATAGCTGCACAGACGCCGGAGATGAAACCAACAAATGCAAAGAGGAGTCGACACAAATAGCTGGAGCTCAGTGATCTCACCGAAACTTCAGCTTCACAGAGGAACAACATGAAGAGCTTCCTTCTTCTCGTCCTCTCACTGACGACAGGTAAAAAGATTATTACTGCCACATCACTGAGAGATTTGACCGATAACTGTTTGTGCAGAGTCTCAGTTATCCAGGTCATAGTAAACTGAAAAAACCTCCACTGAGTATAAATTCTACAGTAGAATTATAAGTGACAATACCTGTTGCAATGTTTTTCCATGTGAATCAAAACCACCAGCTGTTTGCAAGGCTGTACAGAAAGCTGCTCATTATAATGTGTGGCTGTGAGATCTGTGTGATCAGTCATTAAGAGTAAGGGTTTTTATTTTTAATGATGATTTTGGCTTCCAACTATTATGAAAACAAAATAATCAAGATAAAACTATTATTGTGCCGCACTCTGCTTCACTATGATGTTCTCATTTTGTCTTGTGTTACAAATCCAGCGAGACCCTTCAGAGCTCGACAGTGCGTGCATGCATTGCACGTATCTGGTGAAGTGGAACTTTACTCGAGCTGATAACTAAGCTCATTGCACAATAAAACCACTGAGTAAGAGTAATCTATCAAAATACCTGCTAAATGAGCATAAAGATGCAGAGCAGTGATCATTTCAGTGCACTGGACGTTTGTGTTAACCTACTGGGACAAGCTGTGCCAGGGTGAGATCAGCAGACTGAGCAGTTTTAAGGCTATGACAGGCAAAACTTTATTTGTAAAATAAACGTAGAGTATTAAATACTTCTGTCTGAACAGTCAATCACAGTATTTGTTCTTTGGCTGAATCATAAAGTTAATACTGTTAAAAGACAACTTTTTTAAGTTCAGTAAACGCGTGATGTTCCCAAAATCAGTGAGTAATCATATAAAATAATCATACTTACCAAATCAATCATGATTATGAATCTTTATATAATCGTGCAGCCTTAGTACACAGTGGGTTTATCACAGCTTCTTTGTTGATGTGCCTCATATGTCTGAAAACAGCACTGATGATGGCGATGAGAACGAACCAAAACAATAAAGTTTGTCAAACCAAAACACAGAACATCTCTCTGTGGCGCTGAGAGGAACTGGTGAATGTTATCTGCTGGGTCGCACTGGAACTACATGGGCCCTAAACACTCGTAGTCACGTTGGAGTCATGTCATGAAAAAAAGATCGAGTAAAGCTGCTTTGGTGTCAGAATGTTTCTTCATTGGCCTTAGATCAAATCAGTCAACACTGATTTGTCCAGAAAGTCACAGCATCACTGTCACACAAAGACAATCTAAAAATCCAAAACATAAATGACTTTAATTTACAGTTGATAGAGCTCATCTTCATCCTTTAATTAACAGTTGATAGAGCTCATCCTCATCCTCTCATTTATAGGTGATAGAACTCATCTTCATCCTCTCATTTATAGTTGATAGAGCTCATCTTCATCCTCTAATTTACAGTTGATAGACCTCATCTTCATCCTCTAACAGTTGATAGAGCTCATCTTCATCCTCTAACTTCTACTACCGACATAAAGTCTGTCATCCAGTGACTGACTCCTCGTTGTGATTCGTGGCTGCAGGTTATACTGACTAAGGTTTACTGTAGACGACTGTAGTGCCTGACAGGATGTGAACGTTTGTCTTTTTCTGATCTACAGGTTGTGAGGCCAAGGATAAAGTGAAGGGATGTACAGGAGCATGGGTTGAATTCACCTGCAACTATCCAAAGTCAAATTCTCAAAGTGTTGGCATAGTTCATAATACACAAATAACCATACGAAGCACTAGGAAGAATGAGTGGGAACACAACAACAGATTCTCCCTGTACCATGATACACAAAATAGAAACCTCAGGGTGTTCATCAAACATCTTGTACAGGACGACTCTGGGGACTACCAGTGTAGACCACACCAGTCTAGACCACACACAAACAACCTACAACTGGACCCTGGTAAGAGACACTTTCTATTAAAGTTCATCCATGTTGCATGTGTATCACCTCAAGGCTCTTTTAGCATAATTAGAAAAAATAAAACTGATAAAATGTAACAACCCAAATGCACAATCTCATGTATTGAGTGAGATTTCATAAACTTGTAGGGTTTATATGTTTAAAGGCACACGTCAATTAAAACCTTGTTAGACACAGGTTTAATACAAAAATCTGTCAGATGTAATACATGTAAGGTTTGGTGCCATTATTCCCAGAGTGTTTTGACATTTCTTCCCTAGTTTAAAAGTGATAATTCCACATTCACTAGAGTCTCTTTATTAACTCATCACCTACTCAGAAAATCAGAATCAGAAATGGAAATTCATTTGTCATAAAGGTCAAATGCCAACACAAGCAAATGTAATGGAGACATGGTGCAGATGAGTATTGTATACGAGTATGATGATGTGCATTTCCAGCTTGCGTTTGTGTAGTTTTACATTCAACATGTTTTACCTTTCTGTTTTATCTGCAGAAAAAAGCTGCCTCACAACAGTGATTCAAACTGCGTACACAACAGCTGAAACCACCATCACGTGTCACTATAACCTGGGAAACACATACAAGTCCAGTGTCAGGTTTTTCTGCAAAATGAACATTTCCACCTCTGAGGAAATTTTATCAGCAGACTCTCCTCCACAGACAAACGGGAGGTTCACTCTCACAAACACAGACAGTGGCTTCACAGTGTCCATCAGTAACGTATCCTCAGAGGATGAGGGCATCTACTGGTGTGGAGTCAAACCAGATAAAGGACGTTACCGTACAGGACTAACAGAGATACAACTGGAGGTTCAAAGTGAGTAACAGCATCTGCAGCCTCTGAGATATAATCATTCACTGAGATGTGACTAAAATAACTTGATTACTGCACCTTTTTATTGCCAGTGTTTTATTTAATGTCTTTGTCTACAGAGATTAAATACTTCAAAAAAATCCCCAACTGTTGGACAGAACCTCACGTACTGGTGTGGTTACCACAATGGTACTTATAAAAACAAATTCATCTGTAAGGGAGAAGATCGATCTACATGTCAGCACCTGGTGAGCACTAACGAGGGAGGCGTGGACGGGAGGTTCTCCATTAAAGACGATCAGAAGAACAACATCACTGTAACAGTGAGAAAAATAACAGCAAACGACACTGGGACATACTGGTGTGGAGCAGAAAGCACTGAGAGTGGACATGGGAACCAGTTCCTCCACAAACTTGTTATGATTGTAGGTGAGTGGTGCTGTTTTATTGTGTGGGTGTGATCTGACCCTGGATCAGACTGTAGGGGGTAATTTAAGTGTTACAGGGATCCAAAGAAAGGTGAAGTAATTCTCAATTACTGCTGGACTTTTATCTTATGAAGGTACTTGTTGTTTTTGTGGTGAGTTTCTGGCAATAAGACTCCTCCAAAGTTAGAGTAGAAGAAATGTATGTGAAGAAACTTGTTTCTAAACTCTGAAACGTGTCAAAAAGGAGGAAGTGGTTTGTTAAGAGAGCGTGGAAGAGAGGAAGGTGTGATGTGTCTAAACTATGTAAAAATACATTTGAAACTTTAACAAAGCTTTAGTTACTAGAACCAAACCTTTCACCTTAAAGCCACAGTATGTGGTGATTTTTTATAGAAATCTGCTGTAAAACCTGCCTTAATGTGGAGCGTAGGGATAGGATGATATATGATACTGGGTTTATATATTTAAGAAATCTTCAATGACGAATTATACGACTGGAAGAATGTACTATGTACTCAAACCTTAATGCTGAAATGGCAGTCACGTTACATTTGTTTATACTAAATTGGTAGGTTCACATTTATACAGTGTCTTAAAACA